GAATAAGCTAATTATTGTACATATTAATAACTTATGTAATAATTTATATACATTAATATTAAATGAATACGATAATTGTATTTACAGAGGGTATGGTTAATATACTGAGTCAAAGTGATGCTTACTCTCTTACTGTTGAGGTAATGAACTGCCATCCGAACAATATAGGTATGCTATTTTGAGTTTTGATAATTGTAGAAATTACCTTATACACTGACTGATACAATTTACCTTGCTTAATTCCTCATTATTTGATGTCCTCATTCGTTCAGCATTTTACAGTCAAACACATTCCAACGCATGGTTCAGTGTAAAACATTTTGAACCAAGAATCTTTGATGAGATTATTGCGGTAAAAGAGCGTAGGAGCGTGTGGTGCAGCGTAATGTGTTGGACTTCTGATCATGAGATCGGGAGTTCAAGACCGATGCTCGTCGCATTGCTTGTGTCCTTGGGCAAGACACTTTACTTACGTTTGTCTCTCTTCACCCAGGAGTGTAAATGGTGCGAGGGGGGGGGGTCATTCTGGTAACCTGCTTGTTGGTGACCCTGCTACGACTGTTTATATGTGATTATTCGCTAAATCATACGCAAGAAGAAGATTGCGATAAAACTTCTAACAATAACCCTGTCTTACTATTTTTGATAAAATTTTTTAGGGTGGATAACTTTTAGAATATGGGTTACTATTAGAGTAGTGGGTTACTAAGCTTAATGTAGGCTCTTGGAAATTGTAAACCCCATTTTCATGGTTAAATTATTTAATTTACTGTTGATTTATTTTAATAGACATCATAATGAAGGGCTGTATCCTTCTCCAAGCATTACTGAGTGAAGTAAAAGAATTGAGTGGAATTGAAGAAGCTGCAACAGTCATTATAAAAGCTATGGAACACTTTGCTGATGTTGATAACACATCTCAAGAGGTATTGGTTTATGGATTAGTTGTCATAAGTTGTTCTCTGATGTTGATAATGTTCTAAAGATGTAACTGTATTTGTACCCAAATCATTAATATTTTTTATAATGTATTTCTGTAGGTACACACATGTGGCAAGTAAACGTATCACTCGCCTACTTGTAGGTGGCAATCTCTTTCACAAGAAAAACATGCACACATGATGGAAAAAAAAATTACAAAAACGGAGTCTCAATTATGAAGTTTAGGGAGTGGAGTTGTTTTGGTTGTGAGAAAAATTCCTGCAACACTGGACAGGAATTGAACCCATGGTCCTTGGATTGGAAGGCAGGCAGCTGCACTCTAAGCTAAAATACCTGATCACACTTTGTCATAGAGATGTGGCTTGGTGGTTATGATGCTTGCTTTTCAGGGTCCTGGGCTTAAGAGGGCCCTAAATTTCAGACTGCCTGTCAATTATTAAAGCAACTGTAAAGAACAGTGGTGTATCAAGGAGATGCACTTGTGCCCCGCCCCGGTCCTCCTCCAAAAATCATTTGGAAGCAGTTAAAAATCACCTTATTTTGTGAGTTACCACCCCTCAAGTGATTATCGAGCTCCTCCACTTCACCTTCGTCCCCCCCCCCATCAGTACCCCCCCATTTCAAGACTTCTAGATACACCACTGGTAAGGAAACTCCAACTTGGTATACAGTATAAGATATTCATCTTAATTTTAAATTGAATTTTTTCATATCAAACTTTGTATAGTTTTATACTGAAATAAATAGTAAACTAAAAGTATGTAATTTTTTTCCAGGGAAGCAGACAATGTATTGAGAAGCTTGCTGTGATAAAATCTCTTCAGGAAGAGGTGATAATTTAAAAAAATATGAAAGTTTTGTTATCTTATATTCATCACTAATGGTGCATTACTAGTTAAGTACTGAACATATTCTGTGCAGAAATATTTTGTATGTATTTGGATCAATTCAAATAACCAACCAGATAAATAGCATGTTGATGCAGTGTCCACCAGACAATTGATAGTAGGTTAATAGACTGGTGATGGGTTAGTTTCCACTAGGTTATTGCTTGCTCGCGGAATGTGAGAGGCTGCCCCAGTTTCTAGGAGACTGCTATAACTTGTGGGACAACTGTGACCCCTGTATCCTATAATTCTTAAAAAGAAATGAACAATACATATTAATGCATTTGCATCATTTAATATTAAGTATACAGGTCTCCCTTTAAATAAAGACCACTCCCATTAATGACCAGCTCCAATTAGAAACCACTTTTTGTCCATATTAACAAAATTGAAATTTATCTTTATTATTTAAAGATGTTAAAGACCTAGGAAACCTGGTCCCAAAAGTCATCTTTAATTAGAGGCATACTTGTATTAGTATTTTGTAACATAAATAATGGTTATTTGAAGGTTTTATAATCATGTGTATACTGTTACAGCTGATTCATTTATTGTAGGGCTGTGTGGTGTTGCTGTTACTGGCAGGAATGTCCATGGATGTTGCCAAAATACTGGTGGATCTCCAAATCCATGATAGACTGTTCCACATCCTGGAAAAATATGGTGATGATGAACGTAAGAAAACCCTATAAAAGAACAAAAGATTAAAACAGTTTGTGCCATAGTTTAATTATTACATTGCTTCTGCAATTACACTGCTTCTACCAATACTGCGTACTACTGCTATTTCTGTGTCTACTACTACTGTACTGCTTACACTACTAGGCCTATATATTGTTTTTATTAAGTTTATTGCTAGGGCTCATCCAGGAATTGAACCAGGGACCACTCACACTCTAACCTACATTCATGTCTCTGACCAACAAGCCATAGTTACTGTTTCTCACACCCTAAACTACATTCATGCCTCTAGACCAACGAGCCATAGTTACTATATCATTTTGAAGGAGCTCTAGGAATACTCAGCTGACTGATAGATCTTTTTTGGTGATTGATTTATAGATCTATTTTTTTTTTAGAGAAAAAAAAAATAACGGGCTCGTTCGGGAATTGAACAAGGCACCTCTCACACCCTTATACATAAAATTTATTATTAATAATATTCTCTTTTATTATTATAATTAATTATCTAAATGTACTAATTGTATCATTAAAAAAATGAAATAAATGTTACTTCAACATGAATTGTAATGTCAATTTTGTTTTAAATGGGTATTATTTTCTCATATGTTTTTATCAGAAATAGTGAACCTGGCATGTGAGTGTCTTGCTATCCTCAGCTGTTTCAAGGACCAGATTCTTAGCTCAGCTTGTATTGAAGGGCGCTTACAGGTAACTCTTTTAATTATGTATATTGACAAATTATATAATTGATTAACTTTGCTATATCTTTGCTTGGGGCCAAGTTGAAGAAGATTCAAGCATGGAATGTAGCGAACATACAAACTATGAATAAATGTGATAAACTATGAATAAAAGTGATATTAAAAAAAATTATTATGTATAAGCTAAATCGCATTATAAGTCAGGAGGAGTGGAGGTATGTGTGGTCATGAGCAAAAGTCCTGTTAAAATTGACAGGAATTGAACCCAGGACCTTATGATTTTAAGGCAAGCATCTTAATTTAATTAATAATAATAATAAACGCTACTCTTACATAGCGCCCTCCACAGTGAAAAGCCTCAATGCGCTTTACAACAAGAAGCAGTAAAAAATTAGTTCCGATATGCATGCGTGCTACCGATATAGGTGTCCAGAACAGGGCTTCACCCACCTATGTTGAAACAGCGTCGCCGACACCTAGTTGCACCCAGACACTCAGTTAGATAGTATGCTTCCACCTCAGAATAGGCCCTCGGCTCTACTACTGTTCACTGCAAAAGACAACAACGTTGTCTCGAGTAAGGAACATGTGGGGGCTTGGGCTTGGACATCCAGTAAATGATAGCATTTCCACCAGTCATAGAATCTCCCCAGAAGACGGTCAATGACTCTCATGTAAATTCATAAGGATAAAAATTAGGAAACATGACATGTGTTGTTAAAAGTGAAAGGTTGTAAGAAGGGTTTTCAGACTCTGTAGTACCAGCTAATTTGATATGTTGTGGAAGACCATTCCATAACCACCAAGTTGCAATTCCACTCATATTGCAGGTTGCTATAGAACCAAACCCTGTGAGGCCAGTAGAGTTTTAGTCAGTGTGTGTTAAGGGTTACGATAGTTTATATGCATTTCACAGTAATTTTGTGTTGAACCTAGATGCAACTAGTTTGCAAAACCATAGGGGAGCAGGATAGAAGAAGAAGAAAGTTATAAACAATTGTTTTTCCTCAACAGTAAGAAAAGTCTGTTTACATATAAAATTTACCAAAATATGTGTTTTCATAGGCTGTTGAGTTACTTGTGCAGCTGGGTGCAGATGTGAATGCTGGAGGTGGCAGTGATCCTCCAATACTCAATGCCATCAAAAATCACAATGTTCCACTGGTTGAGTTCCTTCTTAAACAGGTGAGTACAAAAAAAGTTCCAGGTGACTGAACCAAGATCTGTCGCTACACTACTACTGCCTGTACTGTTAGTTAAATAGTTAACTACATTAGTTTTCTTTGTTGTTCGTAGGGAGTGAATGATCTACATGACTGTTTGAAAGTGAGTTTGTCCGAGAATGATGAGATTACTGGCTTACTACTTATGTACATTGGCTTAGACATTGAAGGTAAGGATCATGGATTGGATTGGATTTATTTGGTGTAAACACCAAGGATAGCCCACGGAAGTCTAGAAGAAGGCTTATTTCCAGTGGGGTTCTTCTGGTGGTGATTGAGCAGTACACCGGGAGACAATCCCTTACTCTTTTCCGAAGAGTGTACTGCATTCTTTAACGTGCACATGGGCCATTATTGCACAGGGCTTAAACGTCTCATCCAAAAGACGGTGCACTATTGTAACTTTTATTTCAGCCCTCCAACTGAAACACAAGGAGAGGCAACGATGGGAATTGAACTGGGGACCTAGAGATCTCCACGGTTCAGCGCACACACAATGTCTACCACCAAATTAGCTGAATGGGCTAATCTGCTCCCTCGCTCTCATTCAGCTTTTGTTTGTTGGCCTAGACATTGAAGGTAAAGATCATGAGATTATTATAGGCCTCCTTCTCATGCACAATGGCCTAAATTTGTATTATCGGTGTTGATGAGTTTTCAAATGTTTTCAGCTGGTATTGTGTCATGGAGTGGACTGCAGTTAAATGATGTTCATCCTAAATGGTTTTATGCTACTTTCTATTCTGCGAGTGAATTAGTTGAAGGGGCAGGTATGTGCAACTACATTTATTATTATCTATTATTATTTTTGGGCCATATTGAATACTCAGCCATGTCAGTTCTGTGAACTTGTAATCTTGGTAACCAATTAATTTAGCACACAATTCATCAGCCATTTTGATTACCTACCATTTTCATTCACCTAGCATTTTTAATCTTCAAAACTATAAACATAATTTAAACAATCCTTCAATGATCCTAGTAGGTGTAAGGAACTTTTCTTTTTTTGATTTGTTTTTGGTCATGAGATGGGTCTGTTTATATATTTCAAAACTATATTCACATGCATTTCAGCATTTTTGAATAAATAAATATTGGGTTTCCTGCAGGCCAGGACCCATAGAGTAGATAGTACATTATTACTATCAAAGAGTATATAATAGAAAATGGTTTGATTTTTGGGGTTTTTTTTTAATGTGATCCTGTCTTTTCAAAAACAACACTATCATTTCTTAGAGGCATCCTCTAAAAAAATAATGTTTATAACATTGTCCATTGCTGATATACATGTAAAGTTGTTAGTATTGAATGCATGCCACATTGTAAAGAACACCTATTGGATTTATTTCAATCTTTATGTAGGACACCTTAATGCGCTTTTTTTTCGTTCCATTGCAAGCCTGCAAAATCGGGAGTCGCAGCTCTTTCCAATTTATTCTGAATCTAAAATCGACACCTTTTTATATATCATCCAGGCACTACTACAGAAGTAGATGGTAGTTCAGCAATTGTACAACGCATCATAACAAGAAAAGAAAAGCGTGAACAACGTCAGGCTCGGAAGAGTGTTCTAACAGGAATTGATGGAAAGTCACGCTCTAAAGTCAGGCCTAGGGGATTGATAGGGTCAACGTTAAGTGCTTTAAATTCGACTAACTGCTCTGATGTAAACAGCAGAAGATCTTCATTTGGGTTTAGCTCTGGAGAAGGTAAGGACTATTAGGCACTATTTGTTTGGGATCTTTATTTACTTTTACATTTCTTTATTTATCCTATTTTTGGGATGAAATCCATTAAATAACAAAAAGACAAAATTAAACACTTGATGTAACTACTATTTTTTATTTGTGTTTAACTTATTTATTTCTGTAGATTCTGTACTGCAGGATGATCTATGGTCACCACAATCTAATTATTCAGGCGGGCGGATGAGAAGAGCATCAACGACTGATTGTTTATACAATCCAAGTAAATATTACAAGTTTTGCTTATTTTGAGATTTCTCACTGTAAAATACACCAAAGGACTTCCCATCAAAGTCTGTGTACTTTTTTACCGTTAGTCTGTTGGGGAGTGAATTGAAAGTACACCAGGAAACATTTCCCTGCTCATTGTGAAAATAGGCCATTTGTCACACAGAACCAAAGGGTAAAGGTCTAATGCAAAAGATTGTCCTTCTCCCCCTCCCCCTTTTCCACACTGTAATTTACATTTAAAAACGTAAGGAAAGCAGTGATGGGATTTTAACAGTAGCTGCCACAAGTTTAGCTGACTGAGTAAGCTGCTCACTCATGATATTACAAGTTAAATACATAAAAACCTGTGGCAAAGTTATAAGTATAAGGTTTTAGGCTTTCAAATAGGTTTAAAGTTCAAATGCATGAACTGTCACTCTGTGACCTTAAATCTTGCCTAGAGGAATACAGGGTGTTTGCACTGAATGAACCTGTGCAGGACTAGAAAGACTTCCTAGAGAGAGTGGAGGTAGAAGCTACACATTTCCATTGGCTGCTTATGATTTCAGTGACCAAGAGTAAAAGGAAATTGTGCTTTGAAATATTAATATTTATGTACATTTCACAAACACATTACATCACTAAGAAGTCATTTGCACATACAAGAACGTTGTCAAGTGGATTCTAGGACGCCATTTGTCCAAATCTATGTTGTGTAGAGGATGTTAGGATGTTCACGCATGAGTGAATCCGTTCTAATGTCATGTTGTCATGCAAATCACAAGCACCCTATTGATTCCTATACAGTGAGTAGTCAGGAATTCGAAAAAGCAACATTTGTTTTTGGTTTGCTATAGATGTTTGATATGTAACACATTGGTATACTTATCTTGCCAGCTCCAGTAAGAAGCAGAATGCGTAAGCCTTCCATAGATGAGAGTGTTCTGCGGCCATCTCTGTCAGTTTCAGCAATATGTGACAATTCCTTCCTAAGTATTTACCATACATCCAAGTCCAGCATCCGTTGTTTACCAGTCAATCCTCATGATCCTAGGTTATTTGAAAATTATGCTAGTGGAACATGTAAGTAATAATATGTCGCTCTTATATAGCGCTTCATGCACAATGCCTCTAAGCTCTTCACAATTATTGAGGCTTGGCTTGCGCTTCATAACTGCAAGGGAAAGGCGCAATATAAATATCCAATACCAGTACCAGTTACATTACTACCCTGGTCATTGGATCAAACACATATGGAACACATACTCAGCTCCCTGGGGAGAATTCCATAATATTGCAGCTAGTAATCAGCGCAGTTGTGTTCGAACCTACCAGGTACCCACTTGTACTCCTGGGTGGAGAGAGGCAACCGTTGTAGATAAAGCGCCTTGGCCAAGGACACAAGCAAATTGCACAGCGAGAGTTTCGAACCCCCAACCTCGAGGATGGGAGTCCAAGCCACAACCGATGCGCCAACCGCACAGTAATTGTGGCAAAGACAAACCGCCAAACATGTCACCAGTTATTTAGTTATTAATACAAGTAAAAGATGAAAGTTTTAAAATGGTGAAAGAATCATTTAATTCTGACGTTACAGAGGTTTAAACATAAGCTGTTTAAATAACATTATTTGAGGAATCAGTTTTCAAAGTTTACAATTTTGGGAAATTCTCAGGCAGAGACATCACCAAATAATTAAAAAATCTTGTTTTAACATTAGAATGGGGAAAATAACAACATTTATACAACATAAGAGTTAGTTTAGTACAATAAAATAGATTTTGAAAATGTTGACATTCCAGTCTTATCTCAGAAACATGATTTGCAGTGATTGGTTTTATCTTGTCTTTGCCACATTGAAATGTTGCATGCATTTATAATTGAAAATTGTTTGTGGCAAAAACAAGCCAAACCAGTCACTCATCGCAAATCGTGTTTCAGAGATAATGGCCAAAACATGTTGGTATGTCAACATTTTCAAAATTTACTTTATTGCACTAATCTAAACTTCATATATTTATACATCATGCTCTGTTGTAATTTTCCACATTTTTGATGTTAAAACAACATTTTGGTGATGATCTCTGACTGAGAAATGGCCACAATTTAAGGCTTATTTCTCAAAATACTGTTTTTTTAAACAGCTGTGCGTTTAAACTCCTACAACTAAATGATTCTTTTACTATTTTATAACATTCATTTCACTGTAAACCCTGTTTTAATGAATAAAAAATAGGTTTTTTGGCAAGGCAAAATAGGTTTTTTAGCAAGGAAAAGGAAGGAAGGGGCTTGAGTCCTCTTTGCTATACTTTTTTAATTTTTGGAATGTGGTAAATTGAGTTATCGTCTATTGTTGATTGTCTCTTGCTGCAGTAAATGCTTTTATTTCTATTGAAGTGTGTAATTAAAGATGAATAAAACGTACAAATTTGGGTACTTATACAGATTTTTTTTTTGTAAATTTATATTCATTGCCTGTGAACATTTTAAATGGATATTGTTTGCACTTTATGAAATAAAGCTATTATTATTATTATTATTGTTATTGTTATTATCATTATTATTGTTGTTATTATTATTATTATTATTATTATTATTATTACTTTTTGTTATTCCTAAGCTCCTGATATTTTGCACACACTAAGCTCCACATCAGGTGCATCAAGGATTAGCACGCCCTCAAAAGGTGACACTTCGTCATCCACGCCATCGCCACCAATTCCAAGGAACCGTCAACGAACATTATCAATACAGGACAAACGATCATTGTTTGCCAACAGTAACCAGGAGCCTCTATCACATATGCACGGTAAGGATGATTGTAGTTATTGATAAAGCAGATGGTAACGCTGACACACCGTATGATGATAATGTTCTTGGTTCAATTCCTGTCATGGTACAAGATTTATTTTCACGACCTAAACTCTCAACACTCTCTAAGCCTTATAGTAAGACTTAATGTATGAGGGCTTCTTGTGTTATTGTTTTGTGAAAGGATATGCCACTTAGAAAAGTGATTATGTTTCGCTGTGTGACATATCTTTGGTCTACACCACACACGATAAAAAGAAAATGTTCATGTTTATATTGCACCGATAAGGACGATAACAGGGGTCCCAATTTTCCTTGACTAGCATTCAAAACTATAGTTTAGTTTAAAAAATGGTATGAAAATATTCTTGTGAGTTGTTTAATAATGTATGTCATTTACCTCAATATCAATTTCTCAAACCGATTTCTCAGAAGATAGCATGGATGGTACTAACCAAGCAATTCCAGATATCATTTTAGAATCCTGTGGGGAAATTCCAACAACCAGTACACCTCTTCCTTCAGGTTTGTTGCTTTCAAATTAAATTTGTTATCACACTCTCTTGCGATCGGTTGCTATGTAATCGGTGGTAATCCAAAACTGATTACTCCCGATCGCAATCAACGAACGCATTTAGACCAACACAAACAAACTTTACATTCTAGGGCCTAGGCATCCAGTGTCTAGGCCTATGTTGCCTGACCTCAGCCAAACACCTGTGGAATTAGTTGTGATTCGTTGCGATCAGATTCCTTGGTAATCGGGAGTAATAAAGATTGTAGCACCCAATCGCAACGGGTAACAATTGCAATATCGATTACATATCGACTCCTATTGGTGAGCTTTCACACACGATTTTACTTTGTGATTGGGTGCGATTGGGTGTCGCAATTGTTACAACCGATCGCAATGCGATGCTAGTCTGAATGGGGTATTAGATATACATTACTTCATCTGAAATATGTCAGCGCTATGAGTTAATAGACCGCTATAGCATATATTGTTGTTATTAGTATCATTATTTTTAATGCATTACAACCGCTGTGACTATATTGTTTTTAGCTTTATTCAGCTCTTCATCTACATGAGTATGTTTTTTTCTGTAGAAGTGAAGAAACGCCGTTCTCACTCGGCTTGTACATCTGCCACTGAGAAACATGAGGTAATCCAGTGCCGAATACATTTTTTAGACCTGTCGTCCAATAGGATCCCGAGTTTGGAACCATTGCTCCAAGCTGATATTCATCTCCTAAGGTGCTTCATTTGCCTACAAAAGCTGGATCTTAGCAACAACTTGCTGTCTGTCTTTCCATCAAAACTGTCACCAGTATGTGTCTCTAGTGCAGTTAAGCTTTGCCTAACTCGAATAATTTCTTAGTCAAACTTATTTTACATGCCAAATTGTTGTGTTTCCATTAATAAACAATCTGTAAGTCAAATTTTATCTAAGTCGAACAATTTTTTAATTGCATTTTGGATTCGTCTTAGGCAAGTTCAACTGTATATTATTTTTTGCCTTGTAATGATGTTGATTTCATTTAATTTATTTTATCACATACAAAAACAAGAAGTACAAAAATTAAAAGCATTTTCAGGAGGTGGACCAGATTGTCAGTAGCAACATTAATTACTTTCTTTGTGGCTCTCCAACACCCATCCAAAAAAATAAAATACAAATATCTATGTGCACATAAAATTTATATAATAAATTACTATAAAATATGCTTTAAACAAATTAATTTGAAGAAATTCAGTTATAAAATGCATTAACATTTAGTTGCTGTACAGTAAATTCATAGAAATTATAAAAATTACCATAAAAAAAAAACACTTTAAAAATATAGCAAAAAAATTAAATTCACTTGAAGGGCAAATCTTATAAATATTATAAAAAGATAACAAATTACATGAATAATTGATAAAAGGCTAACCACAAACTCATCCTTAATGTGGACTGGTAAATTCTCCCACTAACGAGTAAAGGCATTAATACATTGCTGTATTTGTGCGGCAGCAAGTGTGGAGGAATTTTTATGGATGGTTAAATGAATAATTTGAATAAATGAATTTAAGGTAGGCCCAGATGAGGTAAAAGTATGCTTGAAGAAGCAGTCTACTATAGTTTTGCATTAATACATTGTGGATTTATATCAAAATAAATGCAAGGAATAATAATTTTTCTTCTGTCCTATTGCAGTACTTATCTAATTTAAAACACCTTGACTTGCGTAACAATAAGCTGAAGGATTTTCCGACACATATGTTCACGTCCAGCAGCAAACTGGAAAGCCTAGACGTGTCCCACAACAAGGTACATCATCCATTTCAAATCAATTTTGTTTACACTTACTGTACTAAATGTATAATTCAAAATGTTGTAATTTTTGTTGTAATATGAGGCATGTCGTGGCGAAATGGTTAAGTTGTCAGCATTGAGTATATGAGCTATAAAATATGGGAGCTCAAAAAAATGCTTTAAAATCAAAATTTGTTTTTCACTTTAGATCAACAGTTTAATGTCTTATTAATCATTTACCAAAGTATTAGTGCTGGAAGTGGTAAACAAATCGTTTATTTAACGTTATTTTGATAGTTAATTCTATTAAACAATGTATTCACAAATAACTTTGGAAGGCAATTACTCAAAATCATGTTAATCTTGATTCTAAGAGTGCTGTACTTTCACATTACAATAACTTAGGCCTGAATTGTCCAATTTCAATGATTGATTCCTCATTTTAAATATCACATACTCAGGTATCTGAAAATACCAATAACTTGAAATTCAGTTTTTGCTACAACTTAGCCATTTTGCCACAACATGCCTCATATGTGTATATGTATGTTTGGAATATTGCATGATATTGTGGAATGATGTTTTTATGCTATAAATATTTAAAATAAAAAGTACAATTACATATGACACATTCTTTACTGCACTTTGCACAATGATATAATCAAAGACATTTAACTGTACCAGTAAGAAGCTCGCTGATCCCGCACTGTAGAGTGGTTCTGTGGTTGGTGCACTAATGTTGAAGGGCTTCGAGGTTGTGTCAACGGGAGGCGCTATATAAATCCAGAATTATTATTATTATTATGCTAATGAAACTAATGAAGCAAATTGCACTTAATTTGCACATGCTCAGAAATTTCTTTGAGTTCAGTTGTGGTAACAGTTGAACTTCATTGAACTGGAAAGAGATAAACATTCAACAAATCAGTCCATTGTGTTAACTTCTTTTTTAAAATTATGGCTAATTTGCAGCATTCAGTATTCATTGATTTCAATGATTTTGACAAAGTTTTAGGGCCAGGCTGGCAAGTAGAAAATTTGAAAGACCTACAGAAGAAAACTTAGCGGAAAGCAGAAGGCAAAGGTGGACAGGTTTACTTGTCCTCTACTTAAATCTGACATTTTGTTATGAAGTTTAATATAGGAGTTCAAACATACAGCTGTTTTAAAATCAATATTTGAGTAATCAGCCTTCAAAGATTATGATTTTGGGCATTTCTTAGGCTAAAACCATTACCAAATTGTTAAAAATTTTTGTTTTAACATTGAAAATGGGGAAAATAACAGCATAGCATGATTTGTAGATACATAAAGGTTAGTTTAGTGCAATAAAATAGATTTCCAAAATTTTCACATTTGAGCATGTTTTGGCCATTATCTCCAAAACAGGATTTGCGACAGGTGACTAGTTTGGCTTCTCTTTGCCATATACTGTATATTGTTCGCAGATACTAGTATGCTATTATTTTAAGACAGGACTGATACGATTTAGCCCATCCTGATTTTCTCAATACTTCTGTGCAGAACTTTCCTAAGTACTGTACTAATTAGCATTACAATAGTGCACCAACCATAGAATGAGTTCTGCAATACATTTAAAATCAGCGATCTTCCTATCCTGGTACAGTTAAAAGTCCTTGGTATATATTAACTTTTCAACCTACCTGTTGTATTCCAGATTAGTGATGTATCTAAGCAACCTGGTGATTCCTGTTTCTCGTTGCATGAGCTGAACCTGTCCAATAATAACATCCAGGTGTTCCCAAAGTGGTTGCGTAACTATGTCCCTGCTCTACAAATCCTCAACATATCCTGGTAAGTGGCTGATTTTGATATTAAGCCAGTGACAATAACTAATAATTCTGGAGAATTGAAATAATATTGATATAATTTTAAATTGTGTGTTCCACCTCATTGTAAAATTAAATGCTAATATAAATTATTATTATTATTATTATTATTATTATTATTATTATTATTATTTTTATTGTTATTATTATTAGTGCTTGTATAGCACATACTGCTAAAGCCTCTGTGTGCTTTCCTGAAAATTAGAGAAAAATGAAAAGCAGAACAATAAAAAGGTAATTCAAAGTCAAAAGGAAAAAATTTGGAAAAAGAAAGAAGCTAATCAAAATGTTGGTGAAAGAAATTTGAATGTTTATTTTATCTTCTAACATATTTTATCTTTGAAAAGTTTAAATTTGTATAAATATTATTATTATAGGCCTAACTATATAGTGCTGGAGATTAATTATAGTTTTATTTTTGTTGTCATTTTTAAAAGAGGGTATCCCTTGATATAAACTGGATTTCTGGTTCAGCTTGAAGGGTTACTCTCTTAAAATAAAGTTGAAAAAACTAAATAAGAAAATGGGACACTGACATGAGAAGTAAATGCTAACAGCAAATGGGAAAATGCAGTGAGAAGCATACGTCAGTAGAATTTTGAATGTAATATATTCAATATGTCAGTTTGCAATATCCTTCTCCCAATAATAAATAAACTTTTTCAGGTATTCCTAAATTGTTTTATCCATATTAATACATTACTCCTCTTGTTTTTGTTTCTTTTATATATTATAAGTTTAATGTCTGTAATGCAACACTAAATATATGTTTATCTATGTGTATATTTAACCCATTGTTTAAGCACCTGGATCCAAATTTTGACTCTATCATGTTGTTTTGTCAGCAATAAATGTTGTAATCTAATTCGTTTTACCTAAACCACAATAAATTATACTTAAACAATATAATATTCAAATCAGATGAAACTATTTCAACAATAAATATTCCATGATTCCTTGATCAGCAAAGCAAGGAGGTGTTGATGTGTTTATCATTACAATTTTTGGAAATAACAAAGTAGTTGCTAAGCCAAAATGGTACTATATATTTCTATCTTGCTGGTGAAGTTCAGGGATCATCAATCAAGGAGGTACTGTCATGGACAGATGGAAGTTTACCGGCTGCAGAGGACATGGGGGAGAAGAAAGTTATTGAAAAGTGCAACATCTAGCATTAAAAATGTTTATTATTATATAGATAGACTATCACCTCACTCCAAACAACCAAGACATAAATACAAGTGTTAATTGTAGACAAGTTTTGGGGGTATGATTTCCAGAAGACTTACCACTTTTAAATCTCAGATGTATTCGCTGACTGTTAAACTGTACTTTATTAGGCATCAGTCTCATCGCATCGCACGACTGTGTTGTCGTGGGAATAAACATGCATGACTGAGTTCCAATGGCCCTTTCTGCAGAGCTCCGCCCCTTGGATATTTTTGCTAAGATCTCACAAAACAACAATGTAAAAATCTTTATAAATATAGAAAAAATCCTGAAACGGCTACTGGCAACGGTGCCTGGCTGGGCCTAAGTCTTTTCCTACCTATCGTTTATTGTACTGTAAAGCACACTAAACAAAGCTAGCATTTTTTTTCATCTTCTTTTCAATCCCTAAGTAATAGAAGTACAATGAAACACCATTGTGACAGTAAATTTCCCAGAGTGAAATAGTACCAAAACGATTTTGTTCTTGGCCTAGGCCTTTCCACCTCATGCAAAATAAGGGTCACCTGCTAGGTCAACAAAATGGATGTTTAGATGTTGAACGCATTTCATTGTTTTCAATAATTTTGCATGATGAGATAAGGGAATTTTAAGATAATTTATCAAAGAAGTTATCTGAGAAATTAAAAGTGCTGAGGAAATATAGCCTTAAAGCTTTATAGAGAGTAGCCACACTAATCTCTCTTGGTCATCTTGCACATGTGTTTTTGTATCTTGTAGCAATAATTTGGAAAAACTTGAAAACATTCCATTGCAACTACTGCATCTCAGGACACTTAAATTATGTGATAATGCCTTGGTTGATATACCTCATAAGTTCCTGCTTAACATGTCAAAGCTGGAAACATTACATGCTTCGAATAATCAGCTCTGTAAGTATTGGAATGTTATTAATTCATTATTCTGTTTACAACCTAGCCCTAGTTAGGGTCATTGAGTCAGTAACTAATGACTTATACTGTTGTCTGCTTTCCTGAGTGACCTGGTTAGCACAGTCCTGGCCATTTTTAGATGACCTCTTCTGCTTCATTTGTCTCATTTTTATTCAAATTTATTTATAGTTATTATTTATCATTAAATTAGTAAATTGAGTTAGTGTTAAATAATACTGTACCATATTCTTTTTCATATATACTAATACTGTGTTTTAAATAAGCGACTTCACATCGGAATGATAGTACAATAAATGTTTCTTCCAAGAGGCAGTGGGTTTTAGGAAATCATATTTTTCATCCATCTAGCTATTACTCTGTAGCCCGGGATAAAAAGAGTAAATGTTTTATGATATTTTTGTTCTGTATCATTTATAATGATCCTAAGTTGTTGATATTTTTATATCTTCTAGCTTCTCTTCCTGATGACCTTGGTAGTCACATGACCCAACTTACAACTGTAAAGCTTTCTAAAAACAATCTTGCCATCAACGAGCATCCATACATTCCAAGGTTCCTGCTGAAGTTGCCATGGTAATTTATTTAAACATTGATTTTAATGTTGAATTATTCCAATTCTCTATTATTATTAATTTTCTGGCATTGAAGATAATCAGATGATTATTATAATGACTGTTAATTAATTTTTTTCTAATATGACACTTGCTTCCTCTCTATGTCATGTATTTTTAATGCCCATCTCCTTTGTACATGTTTTTCACATCCTTAAAAAGTGATGATTGAAAAGAGATTTGCTGCTTCTGTGTTCTAGACATGTGATTGTTAATTGATAAAAAAAAAAGGCCTTTCATCATTATCTTGAAAATTTGGAAGCCCTATATAAATCTTATCCAATCTCATTTTGGCCCCTTTACCCAAGCTTCCTTTGTGCAGCACCTCAGTTGTTACTCCAAAAGATGGTGATATCAGTGGATAATCTTGCTACAAAGAGTGATTTTGATATTAAGACGATGATAATGGGATGGTGTTGAAGATGATGTTGATGATGGAGGGGATAATGATAATGTTGGGGATGGGGATGGGGACGATGACAGGGAGAGCAGCTTAGCTCAGTCGGCTAATCTGGTGGCAGCCACTGTGTGCGCTGAACCATGGAGATCTCTAGGTCCCCGGTTCAAATCCCATCGCTGCCTCTCCTTGTGTTTCAGCTAGAGGGCTGAAATACAAGTTACATAGCGCACCGTCTTTCGGATGAGACGTTTAAGCCGTTGGTCCCGTGTGCATTTATGGCCATGTGCACGTTAAAGAACACAGTACACTCTTCGGAAAAGAGTAGGGGATTGTCTCCCGGTGTACTGTCCAATCACCACCAGAAGGACCCTACTGGAAATAAGTCTTCTGCTAGACTTTCGTGGGCTATCCTTGGTGTTTACACCGAATAAATGCAATCCAATCCATACCATGATGGGGACGATGATGATGATAGGCATAATTATGTTACTGATGGTTATTAGTAAACATAAAATAGTATTTTCAATATCAGTTTAGTATGTTATTAAAATATTTTCTCTGCCTCAAATTCTGTCTAAAGGACAGTCTGTTTAACAGCTAGTACTATGATATTAATAAAAAATTTAACTGTTGTATGCAGGGTGAAAAGCATAGATTTAAGTGGTAACCGACTGACAGTTTTACCTGATCCTTCATACTGGAAAAGCCAGTCACTTCGGGAACTGCTGTTTGCAGACAATTCCATACGGAAGGTAGGACTTATATTTAAAACAACATTTGATATCAGTGAAAATATTATGTCATTACACCTTTTTTAAATATCAGCGTTTCTTTAAGAACCCATAAATCAGTCCATCTTAATCTTGGAATTTTCCTTCCATTGTGTAATTTAGATCATGGATATAATTCACATTCACAATTTAAAAATTCAGTGAAAAATGTAATAAAATTCTGCTAAAATGTATAATAATGACAGCAAATATATTTGTAAGTGTAATGTTGCACCTTTCATATATAATGATATGTTCCCATTTAGATTAAACAAAGTTGTTGATATTTTGAAAAAATTAGAATTAAGTTGTCTGGCTTGAAATGTTATTTTATTAAATCACATTTAAATGATTTTATTTACTTTTTTATTTTTACATTTAAATTATCTTTAGACATTATGTACTTACTGTGCAAGTACCACATAACCTGCATATAAGGTTATTTTATTTTAAATTGTTGTAAAAGTGAAACTTCATACTATATTCAAATGATATCAGAGATAACTTATGCGAAATGACAAGATAGGTTACTATAGGAATAATTTTAGTGTGGATCTCACGAAGGATAAGCCACTTGTTTGCAATGTGTCCTTCTGTTTTTGAATTGCGTAGTACACTAGGATAATATCCCCTTTCTTTTCTAAAGAGTTTAATGCTTTCTTTAACATGCACATGACCATATTACACAAATGACCAACGGAGTAAACGTCTCATATGAATGATGGAGCACTATCGTAACTTTTTCAGCCCTCTAGCTGAAACACAAAAAGAGCATCGAATGGAATTAACCAGGGACCAAAGGATCTTCACGGCTCAGCGCACGCACTGTAGGTAATACCAGGTTAGCTGCGGTTACTTTGCGTATAATCTCAATATATGAACAGTCTGTTTATATACCAATGCATCAGTGAAAGTACATTTTAAAAATAATCAATATTAACACAAGTCTCTGCTACCAGTATGTATAGAGATAGACATATGCCTTGTGATGTGTTTCAGAGATAAGAAAGTGCATTTTTGTTCATTTTTAATAAATAATTTACAATTAGACCAAATAAAACTTGTTTTGAGCAAGTTGACAAAGATAAAGCTCACAGTCAGTGGTTGCCATGATACAAAAGAGGGACCATTTGGCTTTGACCTTCGGTCCAGATTATTTCACACTTTGCCACACTTTTCAAAATATATCACCAACTCAGAAATGATTCTTTTGCACACTTAAATGAATTTTGGGGTCAAATTTCATCAGATTTAGTTGCACGTTTCGCGATGGTACATAGTTCGTACTGAAAGTAAAGTTGAACCAGAGTTAAAACCAGAAATAAGAATTCTAAAAAAGGGCTTTTGAAAATGCAAAATTTTATTTAAGAGTCATAGGAACTCCCTCTATCCAATGGTAGTAAATTTTCCCAAATCCTAAATTCAATGTAGTGCTCTAAATTTCTCTACACTATATTTTTTAGTAATTTAATGATATTATATTAATAATATTAACGCACAAAAGTGGTTATAGTAGTTCAAGTCCAATTTATTTACTACTTGTTGTTCTTTGCTGTATTGTAAAGTGCATTGAGGCTTTTTTGCGGAATGCACTGAATAGACTTCTATTATTATTATATCATTGGTATCGCACATTGGATCAATATCCAATGGAATTACATTATTCCTGAAGCTTGGTGACAACAAGTCTCCTCAAACTTCTAGGACCTTCCTGAAGATCGTTGCCGTGTTCAGAATCACACTTTTCTGAAGTCCATCTATTCTGGTCTTTATACCAATTTGTTCCAGTCTTATCTTTAAATTCTTTGGAACTATTCCAAATGCCCCATTTACAACAGGAATGACCACTGTTTTATTTTTCCATAATTTCCACAGTTCTCTTGCTAAGTCCTGATACTTAATCACTTTCTCCATTTCTTTCCCTTCGATGCGTCTACCGTACGGTATTGCAAAATCTATGATTTGGCAACGTTTACTTTTCTTTTCAACTACAATCATATTTGGTCTTCTTATCTCTATTACATGATCAGTTTGTATTGTAAAGTCCCATAATACTTTACATTCATCATTCTCTAGCACTGGCTCGGGTACAAACTTCCAAATGAATTTTCTTTCCGACCATGCCTTCTTTTATATTATTTTTGTGCTTATTTTGGGCATTTGCTTACAATTTGGTTGATACCTGCCTACACATTCAACATTTACTTTCTTCTTGGAGTTTGTATACTCTAGCTTTCTTAAGGTAAGTAAACATGGGCGGATTTAGGGGGGGTGATGCCCCCCCCCCTTTATATCACAAAAAAAAAAAAAAAAAATTTTTTTTTTGTTTTTTTTTTGAGATAATTGAATGGATACACGGTTCCATTGACAGGTTGATTTATATCGCGCAATGCATAGCTACAAAAACAGTTTTAGCGCAGATGCACCAGCATGGAAACCTTTGTGCAATTAATCACTCTCTATCGAGGTCAGCAGGTATGTGCTGTCAGACAACCCCATGCACAGTGACGACAGTACACTGATATGTGTGCATATCTCCATTGACAACACCCCTGCAGTAGACTTACTCTTTTAATAAAGTCCAGTTTTTGTGTAGAGAACATTTGACACTTTTGACGTGTAAGTTTTGCTTCCTTATTGTTTTCAAGTACAGTACCTCCGGGGACAAGGGGAAAATATCCATCTTTGGAAAATCTTTTCCCACCCTTGATAAATGCCCTTTTCATCCTCTGAAAGTGCCTAAAATCCTCAAATTTCGCACGTTTTACGCGCATTTCTTGTCAGAGTACGCCAATTTCCTCTAAAAATTGCACATTTTAGGGATTTGGGATCAATTCCGACGAAATTAGAATTAAAAACAAAGACTTTTTCCGCGCTTCGCGCGCATTTACTAGGGTTTTTCAGGGTTATCCTTTTAAGTTATTTAAACACATAATAGTCCCAAACTCAAGAAAGAAAAATTTAAGATAGATCGTTTTAACCTAAAAGAAGGGGATCAATGTGTATTGATGGTGAAAGAATATGTTTGTAATAAATAAAACCATGATGAAAATGCTTAATTTTACATGCCCCCCCCCCCTCTATTTTTTTGCAAAGAAAAAATTACACCCACAGTGTTTAAATCTTCTTTTCCTACCAAAGACACCCTAGGAGAGTGCTATTCATAAATCCACTTGGTGAGAAATAGAACACTTGTAATTTATTCAGTGTTAATATACAGTAGCGGATTTTGTTGTTTGACGACTTTTTAACGGTTTTTGGATATTAGTTTTCCTTTTTGCTGATTTTGTGATTTTTATGTTCAATGTTGCTGAGAAACTTCATCATGTTTTCTAGAAGTGAAATTTCTCTTTTGAAATGGT